GTACTACTAGTACTAGTAGTAGTAGTAGTAGTAGTAGTAGTAGTAGCAGTAGTAGTAGCAGTACTAGTAGTAGTAGTAGTAGTAGTAGTAGTAGTAGTAGTACTAGTACTAGTACTAGTAGTAGTAGTAATAGTAGTAGTAGTAGTAGTAGTACTAGTACTAGTACTAGTAGTAGTAGTAGTAGTAGTAGTTAGTAGTTAGTAGTTAGTAGCACTGCTGCTTCGTAAATGGCTATCACAAGCAAAGCAGGAAAGTGCTGCAAATCGCTCCTGTTCCCCCTTCAGAGAAGACAGCATTTCAATCACCGTAGACCGATATGCTTTATGATTCCCTGCAATACTCGAGCATTACCACTGTTCATGGTAAAATCGTTCGTGCCCTTGCTCCTGTAGGCGTGATTGCTGCTGGCATTTCTGGAATGCAACCTGTGACGCTTGCAGTCTTGCTGGACACGGCGATTACAGCCTGAGCCCCCCGGCCGGTATCCAAGAAATGGCAGGGAGTTGGCCAAGCATGGCGACCAACAACTTGAAATCACTGCGACGTCCCAATGCGAGGCACTCTAGCAATACCTCCTGCCTCCTGCACGTAGTTGTGGAAGTGCTAGTGATAGTAATAGAAGCAGTAACATTGCCAACCGGCAACTGGCGGAGAAAAAAATCTTCGCGCCTCGTTCTGGGATAACATTCGAGTGAGTTGCATCAGCCATGGTTCGTATGCGAAGATCTGAGCCAAAGCAAGAGCCCCAACATTCAGACTGGGCGGCAATGGCATCTAGTGTGACAGCAACAGACCCAGATGCCGGACGATGGCAAGCATTCGCTCAGCAACAATGCAGTAACAACAATAGTATCGGAGCTCATGCAGTGTTACAGCCATGTTAAGTAACAAGACACGTGATCCAGAATTGACAGCCCGAGCCCATCCCCAACCAAATCGGGCGGAGCATCGTATGGCCTTCATCAGCACTTGCCGAATCGCGAGGACGGACTTCTGTTCCTGCTCCAGGATCCTAGACCCCTAGACCCTAAACCAAAACCCAAAAGACCCTAGACCTGAAATTCCAAAACTCTAAATCTTCGAATCCTGCCTGCCTCAAGGCTGCTAGAACCAGCATCGTTCATGCATGTCACCGAGTTAACGAGCTAGCTACAATCGAAGCATACTAAGACACTTCAGAAATTCTGGGGAAACTAGCGGATAAGAGAAATTGTGAAAAGAAAAATCAAGTAACAAAAAATAGCAATAATCAGAAAGACAAGAATGTAAGGAAGAGACACTATCATTATAATCATTATTATGCTTGAGCAACTGTGCCACCGTGACTTTAGCCGATCTAAATCGCGGACCTGCCTCACAGCGCTGCTTCGCGCCCAATGCGACCAGCTACGCGCAACTAGCACATCAGCACCAGCAACAAGAAAGGGACAGCAAGTCGTCGTAAAGACCGGACTAACAATACAGACAGCATGGTGACAGTAGGAGCGACAGGACAACGCTAAGACTGGCGGGATACCTTGACTGTGCTAGTGGCAAAGATGATACTGATGGCAACAAAGCCGATGTTGATACCCGCTTTCCCCCACCTCTGCTCGCTTCTTCACCTCTTCCTGCCTCTTTTTCTCCTCCTGCGCGACAAGTGAAGACTTCCCAAGTAGCGCCTCCAGAGTTCAGAAGGCTTCAAGCGGAGGGTCTTTCTGGCAAATGGCTTGACTCCTCCACCCTTCTTCTATTGGCTTCCTCAATCTTCTTCTTGTTCTCCTGAGAGGCAGGTACACGACTGCACAAAATGAGAGAGACCACCAAGACCATCCAATGGCCCCCGCCTCGGCCCTCTGCCTGGCTTCCTCAACTCTCTTTTTCTGCTCCTCGCAACGGAGAGAGAGCCCGCAAGAGGTGAGAAGAGAGAGAGAGAGATAAAGAAAGAAAGAGAGGGAGAGAGAGAGAGAGAGTGATAGACGACAAATAGAGGCAAGCCAGTGCAGTGCAGGGATGCTGGAGTTCAGGTTACCGCTTATCATCACACTCCCCAGCCCTTGAGCTGCAAGACGATCCTCTGCTTGTCGCATCTTTTCGGCCAGGATCTGCTGCTGCCGGGCCTCGCCACATGCATCAGGCTCCCCCACGCGGCGGAAAAAAAAAAGGCCGACAAAACGACTGCACCGAAGTTGATGGCACGCCATTCTCACGCATGAGACCTCGATTCAGAGCCTTCCAAGCCTAGGTCCGACACAATAACAATAATCATAATCATAATCAGAATTATACTAATAATAATTGTAATAGTATAGGTCCGACACGCCTGGCCTCGGCTTGCTGCTTCAAGGCCTCTTGCTGCCTCAGATCCGCCACCGGCTGCGGGGCTCAGAATCCGAACGTTAGACCCTTAGACAACATCTTAGGGTTTAGGGTTTAGGGTTTAAGGTTTAGGGTTTAGGGCGTGAGACCGTTAGACAACATCTTATGCTACTGAGCAGGAGTTTAGGGGCAGGTGGCACAAATAGGGACCGGCTGATCGCGGGTGGCTGGCAAGATAAAGAAATCGACCGATCGCAAGTGAGGCAGGGAGTTAAGTAGCTGGAGGATTGACAAAACCAAGATAAGATCAGATTAGCAACACTTAAAGGTCAGACATGAATCAAGCCGCATTCTGCAAACTCAGAGAATGCTACAGTGTGGCTTTGTCAACGAAGATCTTGGTTGTTTGGCTTGCTCCTAAACGAGGGGAAGGGAGAGGGAGGCAGAGAGACAACTCGACGGATGGTCAATGAAAAACATGCTGATGAAATAAAAGTTCTCGAGGGAATGTATAGCAGAAGAGAGAGAGAAAGAGAGAGAGCGAGAGGGAGATGTCCAAGGATATCAACGATGTCGCAACACGGCACAGGGGACTGGCAACAAGATGAGTTTCAGGTTCCGAGGTCTTCAAAGCTCCGTCCAGTGCCGTCATCGTGGATGGGCCTAGCCTAGACGGTTTCAGGAATAGGGTTTCCAGTGTTCCAAGGGCTCAGCGTTGTAAACCTGCTGCCTGAAACCCCAATCCCGTGTATCAGATGATATCTCAACCTATAAGGGCTACTACAGGAGGTTCTAAAAGGGTTACAGCTAATTATCAGGGTTCGATAAGGCTCCTAAAATGCTAGCCTTTTTCATCGACACCTCCTGTCAATTCCCTCGGAAGCTTGTCATACTCCATAAACCCTTGGTGAAGGAAGCCGTAGTGGAGGAATTCGAGTCAAGAGAATCTGCGATCGATTACCTATCGTAGCGTAGGCTGGATGCCGAAGGCTCAAAAATCGGGAACCGATCTCAACCCTGTACACAGCTAAGAGGACTCAGGAGCCAACGCCGCAAGGCCCTGCACAGATGGGAAGATGATGTGGCTAGCGGGGTGCAGGTGCAGCTGCCAGAACACGTGGATGGCCCATGGCTACTGAGCGGCTATTGTCTCTTAGAACACATGGAGCGCGCGCGGCTCACTACTCTGTCTGGCGTGCTGGAGGCACAAAATACTCAGTTTCCTTAGCCACCGCCGTTTAGGAGCCACGCGAAGATCAAACACGATTCCAACATCCTCAAATTCAAGGCCTTCGGTCTCCCTCCGCAACCTTGTCCTTACGCAAACTAAACGCATCGTGGTTGCTGTACTATAAACTACACATCCACGTCTCCCACAACAGGCCCATAGCATGCAGAGCTCAAACCCCCAACCCCCCCCCCCCTAAGGTCCCTCCCCCCCTAAGGTCCAAAGGAAGCTTCGAGAGCCAGGCCCTGGGGGCAAGGATCAGGGTCTGGTCCACGGCGCCATCGTAGGGCACCTGCATCATGTAGGGGCCGTAATCATTAGCATAAGGGTCTTGGGACTCCTTTGTAGGAAAAATTCTAATGTTTGAACGGAAGGAAAAGTATAGGTATAGGTAATTAATTTAGGCTTCTATATTAGTGCAGTGTGCCGTCTGCTCCCACGGCATCGCAGCTCTTGAAGGAGTAGCTTGGTATGATAATGTGCAAACATATGCCATAGGCTACTACGTGGCAGCAACGGGAACAGAAAGCTTACCTGCGATAACTTTTCACTATGTCAGTTCACGACAAGGATACTGATAGCAAGGTAAATTATCATGAAAGAACATGCTGTAGTCAATATAATGTAATGAGAACGATGCGCAGCGAAGTGCATCTGCCTCAGGCATCATAAGCACATAAAGACTGCCTTCCATCCGGTTCGCGGTGGCGTCTGCGTGGCTCGTGTCGGCTGGTAGGCCCAAACCTGCGGCATCACTGGTGCCAGTAGTACACAGCTGCTTTGTTGATACTCAAGACATGGCGATGCCGTGCCTTGCATCAACGACTTCAGTCTGAAACCCCGATAACACTTGTTGAGGGTAATGATTCCAGGGTAATGAAACTGTGCATGTGCTGGCCGTGCTTGCAACCTGTGCATCTGGTGCGATGTCCCTAAATATGGCTGATGGGAGGGGTCCCCAAGGCAACGAAATGCGAACAAAAAGTGCAGACAACTCAACCCCAACCACCTGGTCGCCGCCAATCTTCGGCCCAAACCACCAGCCACTGAACTCGACGCCATCGCGCTCGTCCCAGTAGTAGAGCCTTGCTGCTCTTGCCTACCGACCGGACGCAAGGTTCAGCTTGTCTAATCGCCCTACTAGCGATGCTTCTGCAGCTCAGGAGCATGACGTCCAGGCCACTCACCTCGCAGACACGTAACCCCATAAAATCCCTTCTCGGAGCAGCTGCAGAAGCAGACCGAAGCATCGAAGACGACAGCCCTTAGGAGAGGGAGGCCTTCTGCTCCTTCCGGTATGCCGGCTTGTTGTGGTTGGAGCCATCTACGGAGTAGTTCCCCCTGACCTGCAGCACTTGCAGCTTTGAAGTCAGCGCCTCCTTGCACCCAATGCGCGAGATCCATCACTGACAGCAAAAACCCAACAGAACCACGAAGCCGAGTCCGAGGTCTTGGCAATCGGACCGACGCTGACGTGGGTGCAGCCACTCACGCTGATCTGGGCCTCGACTGCTCTGGCGTAGGCTTTGCGAGGTTTCCGGAGTGGTGGCAGCGAGCCAGAGGCTTCAAGGATTCGAGACATGAGAAAACACTTCTGTGCTTAGGGCTTTGGGTATCCACCTTTTCGTAAAACTACTTATACTCAACCTTCATCGGGGAGGTGGTGCCACAACACAATCACTCCATTTGGGAAATCTTGACATGGAGCCCATCCCACAACGAAATGAGGCCTGCAAGGTCAGCCGCTAGTTTTCCACGTCAGGCGGCAGCTTCGTGCAAGAGACGTGGTGAAATGATGTGGTGTGGAATTGGTCCAATTGTGCCCTGTCCATCTTCGAGCCACTACTTGTAGCACCTAAACTTATAGCATTGCTGAGCATGAAGTGCGGAGATGCGGGTGCAATCCGAAAGGAGCTGGCGCCCACCACCGGCGGAAAAAGCAGCGCTATAGCGAAGAGACGCCATAACTTAATGATGGACACACGCAGTGCTGCCTAGTGGTGGGACGATCATCGTCTTGTCGCGGTGTTCTGTACAAGCGGCAGCCAACATGCAACCTCCACATGAGGTTCTAGGGTGTCGACTTTGGCACGCTACAGGCATTGAAGTTCCACTTGGTGGATACTTCTGACAATACCATTGCCATGTGAACATCAACACGTCCACCGGCACAGCAATCATTAATACTTCCTGACTGCATGTCGTCCGCCAGTTGCTGGCACGCATATGTTCACTTGACCCTGTGTGTGGCCTACATCCGGTCTCGCGCATCCAGATCAGTTTCGCTCTCCTGGCCGAGTGCGACCTGAGCCGCCCACGTGCAGCTGCAGCGCAATTTCACCCGGTCCATGCCATCCATGCAGAATGTGAGAATTACATTGCATGATCACATCTCCCCCAGGAGTTGCATGCAAACGCAGATGCACAAGCACCAGAGAGGGGACGGAGAGAGAGAGAGAGCAAGAAAGAATCAAAGAACGAAACGGAGATCATGCCGCATCTGCACACACGGTCACAGAGACGAAAACAGACAGAAAGCGCTAGACAACAAGGAAAGAGGGAGAGAGGGAGAGCGAGAGACGAGCGCTGATTTGGCAGGTGCATCATGCGCTGCACCAAGTAGTTGCGGCATTGATTTCAAGCGGAAAAATTCTAGAGGTAGACCTTATCTTTCTCGGGCGTCTGAGGGATGTGCACGACCATCATCTCGATCTACCACGGCTTCACAGCTCTCCATGGTGAACCGGATCAAGATCTTGTACCTGGTCTTTTGCCAGATAGTGGAATGTCTGCAAAGTTGAACTCGTCAGGCACCGAATTGGCAACAGAAGACTAGCAGCCCAGCAGAGAAAGAAGGTAGTTCAAAAAGTGCTGCACGCCTTAGAACTCTAGGGGCAGCGCCATTCCATGATCTCCAGCTCCCGCTCCGATCTCAGCTCGAGCTGGTAGTCCGTGTAGTCCTTTGACAGGACGGCTTCCTCTTTGGTTCGATTCCTCGACCTCGCCGTCTCAAGCATCGCCCTATGCCCCCCTCGGCAGCCGCAGGACCTCCTTGAACTGGAGCAAGATGCGAGTAGAGTAGGGAAACTTTACCTGCATGCACTGTCGCTCCCTTCCCATGCCCCAACGGCTTTGCATTGCCTTGGGATGTTTTATGGCGGGTTCAGTTCAGAACATATGCTCGTTTAGCTTATCTCGAAAATGACTGTGAGTTTCCGAAAGAAAGTATGATGCAGTCGACTGTGTAGTATCATTGCCTTCCGACCTGCTCTGGCGACCTTGGCTTTTGCCGCCATTTCCAAAACTCGGAAACACACGGAGTAAAGGATGTCTGGGTTTTTGTAAGTCGAGCACTGCTTCGTGTCGTTCGTCATATACTCGTACCTGTCCACTCATACGCTGTCGTTGCCCTCGGCAAAGTGCCGGTGGAATTTGCTTCTGCTGCTGCCGGCGCTGCCTCCCGCCGCTATAGGAGCAGTCATCCTTATTGCTGTGACGAGAACTGCTGCTGATGGTCATAATATGCCTTCGTGATCCTTGTTATTGTCGAGAACGAGAGAGGCGAGACGCAGGAGCTGCCAGAGCGAGACTGAGACAGAGAGCGAGCGAGGGAGGGAAGGAGGGAGGGAGAGAATGCAAAAGAGCACAGGACCTGACCCGCACAAGAACTTGTCAACTGGCCCCCCGCAACGCCCGCACTTGCGATGCAAAACCGTCAACGGCCTGTGTCCGTGTTACGCGCTTCAGCTGCGTCAGGTCCAGGCAGCGCACAGGTCGAGGACGCGGCCTCCAACATGCATAATTCTGAACACAGGCACAGAGTAATCCTACACCAAAAAGCGAAGAAATGGTCTCAAGGCGGCAGACAGACAGCGAGATGGGTAAGGTCGACAGCAGTACGATTCTCGAAGTGACCGAACACAGCTTCGTCGCAGCATAGCTGAGATCACGGCTCTTTGTTGCGGACTACCTGATTCAAGCTTAGCAAGGCTAATCTACCTCTCTAAACCGCGTTTTTGTTTAGGCCTCCTTCTGGATAGGTCTTAATACAGCCCAGCCGATCAGACCAATCTGTTCGTCTAGACAGCCGCAGGAAGAACTCAGTGACTCTGATACTAGTAGCCAGGAGCGGGTTTCAAGCACTGAGATCACGAATCTGCCGGCTATGCATGTCGTCGAATCATAGGCATTCAATCATTCAATCCCCAGTGCCCCAGGCCAAAATCCTAGCTCCCCAGTACCCGAGTTTTTGATGCTGGAATGTTGAATTCTACATCCATTGTCCCATTTGCCAACTCTTGGATCCAGCCAGCGGACCTGGGGCGGGCGGGGCTGCCGGAGCTGATCTGCAAACGACGGCCTCCAACGGCTCCAGGCCAAGCATGTGGTGACCCGAGCCTCTGGAGCCTCTGGAGCCTCTATAGAGTATATGCTCACACGACAAGCAACTGTACATTGTGTCATCATCACCATCGTTATCCTCGTCTTCATTCCCATTAGCAGCAGCAGAAGCACCCGCAGCAGCGGCAGCCGCAGCAGCAGCAGCAGCAGCAGCAGCAGCAGCAGCATCAAGAACAGCCTGGTGATGGCAATGCTGGTAATAGTGCCAGTGCATGAGCGATGGCGGCGGTGAATAGTGCCGCTGCCACCCCATCCCGTGGCTTGGCAGTAATGATTCTGGGAAGAGTCTTCCTAGCAAGAAACTGACAGCAGCTGCCACGGATCCGAGACTTCAGGTTCAGGGGAAAGGCTGAAAGGCTGATGGCCGAAGCTTAAAAACGAGCACATGCACGAAGAATAGGCTGGAACTACCGACGCCAAAGAAACGGGATCGCATGCCTCCACCAACGAATCTGCCCATCTTTCAACTCGAAGAACCTGCGCGGCTTTTGTCTGTGTTTCTCTGCGATTCTCGGCATTCGGGTTGGGAGACCCTCTCTCTCTCTCACCTGGTGGCTGTAGACAAGTTTAGCCTGGCTTTCCGAAAGCGTGGGAAGGGCCTCTTTCCATTCTAGCAAGGTTTGGGTTGAGAAAGCCCTGCGGCTCACACATCCCAGCAATTACTTCAAGAGCTACAGTGACAGTCGGTTCGGGCCTTCGCCTCAGCCCAAATGCGATGAGAACTTCAGCCCACACGGCCCGCACCTGATGGTCCACCGGAATCGTGATCTTCCTGCTCGTTTCTGCAGATACCTGGCCGTTTTGGAGCTGAATCAAGCGATGAGGTTCATCTTTGAGAAATCTGCGCACGCTGACACGCACTTCACATGCTGATGGGAAGAGCCATCGGCAAAGCCCCTGACACACCTGACAAGCCATGCCGGCTGCGGCCCCTCTCTCTTAGCGTAGATCAGGTCGCCATCCTCAGCCGGATCCGCATACGAGCTGAGAACGCTTCTAATCCGACAGCCCGGTCCTCGTGAAGCGCCAGCTGTTCCTGCTTCACCGGCTCCTGCCAGAACGGTACCTGGAAGCTTCTTGAGGGGCTGTTCTCGCTCCGCATGCGGCCCAGAGCCCGGGCATCTTCCGGTTTGACTTCGGGAATCGGGAATGAAAAGGCCCCAAGGCGAGAGTGCCAGGCTACCGTAACATTGGACCATGCTGGGCTTCCTCAGAGGGCTTGACTGCTTAGACTCAAGGCTGCACTTCGAAGGCTGCCCTTCCATGTTGCACAAGAGCACCACAGATGGCCTTCCACTTCTCCTCACCAACTTGCACATCCTCCCGCTTGGGCGGTGGCATGGCAGGCTCTACTGGCAAACGGCTAATGGTAGGAAGGGTCCGAGCCCCTGCTGACCGTGGAAGTGATCTGGTGTGTCGAGGCATTTCGCAGGCTGACCATCGTAGATTCGGCCATTAGAATGCAATCAGCAACAAGCGCCACATGCTGAGCCAACTTTGCCAACACTCCAACCACGAGTTTCCGATGGTGCAAGACGGGTCTGGCATGACAAAAAAATGCATTCTCAGCAGCATGGGACACTGAGTATTCAAGTTTAGACAGGTTTCACAAACACATGGATGAAACAGAGTGATGATCTGAGGCGCCAACAGCATTCCCAATCTCCGGTGTGGCCGGCGTGGCTTGCTGTGGCGCCACTACTGTTTGCCTGGCAAGTGAAATCCGGCCACAGCTTCTGTACACCCCACAAACAAACCAACTTGCAATGAAGCAGTTGATGAATCACAGCTTCAATCGGTAGTCGACGCGGCTCTACTGTGTCTTGATGGCACCTGTTTCGCTCAAGAGCACTGTCTGGTGAGGTGCTACAGGAAGTCCCATAGAGACAAGGAGCACGTTGGAACCAAGTTGGAACCCCGGCGACCTCACTCGTGCCCAGCGGCTTGAAGCTGAGCATTCTGGAAAAATGTCAGCCACTCGCGGACAAACAGGTCTGTTGCAGGCCAACCCAGCTATAGCCCGAGCACGATATCATAGGATGCTTGCCAAGTGCTAGTAACCTCTACTTTGTAGTGCAGTATCAGCTGCAACAGCACCGCTTCAAATGGCGTCGCTGTAGTGTTGCAGAATGTTGATTTATTTCCAGACGAATGGAGGCTTCCACTCTCCCATGAAGTCTAAGTTCATCAGGCCAGCTTCCAGGAATGACCGGCAAAGACCGGTGCGAAGCCTCCATCCTAGAAAACAGTCTCCACAGAGCTTCTCGAGGCAAGGCCAAGAGGGGAACCACCACAAAAGACACCGGCAGAAGCTAGCGTAGGATCCGATTAAGAGCCTACTGTTCTTAGTCGTGGCCCGGCGCGTCACTGCCTGGCGCACAAAGCGGTCCCCATCGGATAGCCTGGGCCCTTCCCGGCGTCACCTCCTAGAAGGATCCCGCCGCAGAGCTCTAATCCATAATCTCGGCCTACACCGAGGCCTGAAAACCAGCCTTGTGGCGACTCCGGGCCTCCGGTTATATTGATTGCTGATATTCTCTTGGATGTGTGTGTGTGTGTGTGTGTGTGTTTATATATATCCATACACACAATGTACTGCGATATACATACATATCCATGACCGACATTGAATCCATGCGAAGAGACCTTCCGCCTCAGGATGGCCTGATACTCGTGCAGACTACGTTACGAGGGGTCTCGATGCCCCCACACGAATTCACTCGAAAAAGGGCGGTGCCTGTCCGGACCACTGCGAGGGTCGCCCAACGCGAAACTTCGGTTTGGGGTAGCGTGGTTCCAGACCCTTCTCTGGTGCAGTCTTGTACTGGCTACGCAATCAACATCCCCCAGAATCCAGAAGGGTATTCACAAAGTCGCTGCACTTCCTCTGCTTCTCGACGGGTGCTCCGATTCGCAGTGGCTCAGAGTCACAGAAGGCAGGCACGCCCAGGCTGGTCGCCGTTCGCTGGAGACACACGGCACGCCGGGTGAACGCTTCCCTAAGACTGAAGCCAGGCATGCTGGGCCAAGTTGCCCGACTTTCGATTACGGAGGCCTTCCGGAAGGCCAGTCACGATCCGGATTTCTTTGGTCAGATGATCGTCATACCGACGTGAAGCAAGCCTGTACAAGGGTTGCACGCATGGCAACCCAATGTAGAGCAGTCCCAATATTCTTTCAATGGCGAACCTGACGGCTCTGCACTTGGACTTGCTGTCTTGGCAGGGTTGCGGCTTTAGGATTAGTCACGGAAGAAGTAGTGTTAGTAGCAGTGGTGGCATCAGACGCAATTTTCATTCTCAGCATTGTTAGCGTTATTGCTATTGCTGTTGCGATTGCTGTTGCCCTAGCTCTTGCTCTTGCTGTTAAAGTATAATATCTGTATAGGTACATATACATATACACATATTATAGTATATATATATATATATTCAGTAGTAGTAGTGGTCGTCGTCGTCGTAGTAGTAGTAGTAGCAGCAGTGCTAGCAGTAGCAATTTAGTAGTAGTAGTAGTAGTAGTAGTAGTAGCAGCAGCAGCAGCAGCAGTAGCTGGACGCATCAAAAAAACTGGGACTAGTAGTAGGTGTCGTCGTAGTAGCAGCAGCAGCAGTAGTACTAGTAGTAGGTGTAGCAGTAGTAGTAGCGGTAGTAGTAGTAGTAGTAGTAGTAGTAGTAGTAGTAGGAGGAGGAGGAGGAGCATAGGAATGGTATTCGGAGTACAGAAAGTATGAGTTTGAGGAGGTAGGAGACGAGGTAGGAGGGTAGGACGTATGAGGCAGGAGGTATTACATAACAGGTAGTAGGTGGTAGCTGGTAGGTAGTAGGTCGTGGGTCGCGGGTAGTGGGCAGTAGGCAAAAGGGAAGAGTCGCAGTGGCAGAAGTAGAAGTAGTTGGCAGGGACAGCCGACGACTAGACAGCACTGGTGCCATCGCACTGGGAGCGGTAACGGCGGACACGCCACAGTGACAGTACGAGTGGCAGGAAAACCTATGGACCTGACGACAATTAACTCGTGACAGCAGTGGTAGCTGTGGTCGTACCAAGGGCTGCGAACAGAAGAGCAGCAGCAGCAATAGCAGCAGTTTGGTAACTGATGCTCCTTCGTGTGCTACAGCTACTGCTCTATCCTGCAATCAGGCCATGATCATTGCCAATCAAAGCTAGGGTGGCAATCATGAGGAAGCACGAAAGTGTTATGTGGCAGATTGAGGAGATGTGACTAGTATTCGTATTGCGATACGTCCTAGCCATCGTGCCAGAAATGGTCATTTGAGGTTCGATGGTACAGCAAGCTCCGAAATTTGGACAAAGTGAAAAGGATCCGGGTGCACGAAGCATCACTCTGGCGCAGTGTAAGCGCAAACCACAATCACAAACGATGTCAGTAAAGCGGATGCAAGCCGCACCAACAATAGCAGGCACAGCACTGATGGATAATCATGATGACAGTGCCATGATGCTTCTCGGTCGCAGGACACCTTGTCTAGTGAGACAAACACCACACATCGAAAGGCCAATCCACAAGTCCAATGATCTGGTCCTCGTCATTTGCAAACCGTAGCCCTTTATGTCTATGTGCCTCATGTCCATTCCTGTGTCTTGGCAGACGATGCTAAACCGTGATGGCGCAGGCAAGCTTCCACTGATTTTCCGCTTACCTGCTCCTACTCACCGCAACTCGGTGCACAAGGCAAATAAAGCGAACCGCACGAGACCTCAGGCATAGAGCGCGCTGGCATCTTCTGTGCTTTCACTGCGAGGGCTGGTAGCTGCGTACTTCACCCGCAGCCGCTCCAAAGCATCCAGCACGGAAACGACATAGTCAGACTCGTCCACTGTTTTACGGAAGGAAAGTCCCACTAGGCCTGACAGGAGATATGCTGTTCAGAACCTTTCGGGATCTGAGTGTCTTTCCAATGCAGTCGAGACAACAGCAGAAGCAACAGTAGAAACTCTTCAGCAAAAGCAGCAGCCGCAGCAGCAACACGCAAAGCAGCAGCAGCAGCAGCAGTCATGCTAGTAGTGTGCTTGTGCTGGCGATGGGAGTGATAGTTGCGGTGGGCGGCAGCAGCACAACCAGGAACGGGAGCACGAGAAGCAGCAGCAATAGTCGCGGTAGCCGTGGTAGTCGTGATAGTCGTAGTCGTGGTAGTCGTGGTAATAATGGAAATAATAGTGGTAGTGGTAGTGGCAGTGGCTGTGGTCGTGGTCGCGTTCATGGTAGTGGTAGTGCCTGGTAGTAGTAGTGGTAGTGGTAGTGATATAGTCGTGGTGGAGTGGTGGTAGTGGTATGTAGTGGTGGTAGTGGTGGCGGTGGTGGTGGTGGTGGCGGTGGTGGTGGTGGTGGCGGCGGTGGCGGTCGGCGGTCGGCGGTCGGCTGTCGGCGGTGGTGGTGGTGGTGGTGGTGGTAGTGGTCACGGTGTAGCGGTGGTAGCGTTGCTAGTAATCGTCGTGGTGGTGGTGAGCGCAGAAGTACTTGTAGCTGCAGCAGCAGCAGCAGCAGCTGCCGCCGCAGCAGCCGCAGCACTTGCAGGAGCAGTAGCAGGAGCAAATGATGATGATGCTGATGCTGATGCTGATGCTGATGCTGCTGCTGATGATGATGATGATGATGATGGTGATGGTGATGGTGATGGTGATGGTGATGGTGATGGTGAAGATGATGATGGTGGTGGTGATGATGCTGCTGATGGTGATGATCATGGTGGTGGTGATGATGACGATGAAGATGAAGATGGAGCTGATGATGATGATGATGATGATGATGATGATGGTGATGGTGATGGTGATAGTGAAGACGATGATGACGATGATGATGGTGATGATGACGGTGGTGGTGGTGGTGGTGGTGGTGGTGGTGATGATGATGATGATGATGGTGGTGGTGGTGGCGGCGGCGACAATGATGAGAATGATCTTGATGCAAGAACGATGACGACTGCATAACGGTGTGTTGAACGTGCACATGGCGATGATTCTCTTGCAATCCTATCATGAAACGTCGGCCTGCGAACGTCATACGGGCAAAGACTTTGTCCAAGTTGGACATCCGGCTGTCGGTCAATTCTTCCTTGGCTGTTGATGCTATCTACACTGGCCCTGGGCTGATGGACCGCCTCGCCTCAAATATCTAGAGCTGTACCATGACTCTGCGACTTGGCCCAACCCGACTTTAAAAGCAGAGCCACAGGTAGAGCAGGCGCACCTGCAGAAACCTGTCAAGCAGTTTGGCATCCCGCAATGCTTCTTCATTCACAGCGACGCCGCGCCGAGCACTATCTTACACTCGTTAGGGGCTGTGGTAGCAAGAATCGATTGATCGAGGCAGGCAATGTCTGGATCAGCCACCCGCTGCAAGCACTGCTTCGTACTGTAGAAGTGGCTGCTGCTATTCGAACTACTTCAATTCAGTTGTCAGGGCCACAGCGGACTCCCAGATAATTTCAATTTTGTCATGATGTCGACAGTGATGGCTATCGGCCACCTTAGTCGTGATAGTAAGAACATATACGGACATTAGAAGCAGCATTGATAAACACACCAGGTCGTGAGTAGTACCACCAGCACCCAAAGAATGCTCAAGGTGCTTGACGGTTGAAGATAGTTGGGCCTTCTTCGTCTTAAATGTAGTCGTAGGACCTCACCCTCTGGTTCAATATGCAACAGGATCCCGCATGGCTGTCAGACCAGGGGAAGACGTTCTGGAAGTGCAGTTGTGATGACGAGAAGGGTATGGTCTAGCAATGATGGTGAATTCCTGGATCTTCATGTTCGAGAGCGCTGAGCGTCCTTGGCCGAAGATGGTCATCGTGTTCATCACCAAACCGAGCCCCGAAGACAAGTTAAAACAGGAAGAGTCAGTTTTGATTGCTGCTTGTGAAAATTCTTCGCGTCGTTCATCATCATCGCCATCATCGCAGAGGTCGTGGTAGTAGCAGTAGCAGTAGCAGTAGCAGTAGCAGTAGGAGTAGGAGTAGCAGTAGCAGTAGCAGTAGCAGTAGCAGTAGCAGGAGCAGCCGGTACTGGTGCTGGTAGTGGAGGTGGTGGTGGTAGTGGTAGTAGCGGTAGAGGTAGTGGTAGTGGTAGAGCAGCAGCAGCATCAGCATCAGCAGCAGTGCTAAAGTAGTCTTGGCCGCAGCCTTAGCAGCAGCAGTGCCGCGATGACCGTCGTTGCTCTCATCCTAAGCCCCAAATTCCAAACCGTGCAAATCATAAACCCTTGGTCCGGACCTCCTGCATGCGGCGCTCCATGATCTCCACGACGGAGTCCGCTTTGTGTTGGAGCTGCTCCTGGGGTGCGGAGCCCCAGGCTGCGAGTTCCAGAGAAATCAGCGACCCTGATCTACAAAGCCTCCATGATAAGATCATTCTTCTGAAGACCCCCAAAAAAAGTACGCTCATGGTAGGAACCGTGCACACGGTTGACTCCAAACAACCTAGACCCTCACAGGCATGGGACTTCGCCGCCCGTGCCGGTCAGTCTCAGCGGCATGCGTTGAACGATCAATAGTGAGTTTTGAAGCCAATCCGATACGCCCATTCCTCTGAACCGTCCAGACACACTTGCAGGTCTCTCAAGCCTTTCTATACCTTAACGTAAAAGGCGCAGACTGCTATGGCTGCCATGATGTAAGGTATGCAAGGATACTCCCTCATTGACTTGAACAACTTGAGAGCTGAAGACCCTCGTGGTCCGGGCCTCAGTGGCCTTGGTTCGGAGATGAGGAAGAAGAATCTCCAATTTCTGCCCCTGCCAAGGAGAGTCGCAGGTGATAACTTTTATGGGCCTTGAGGTGATGCCAAGTCTTCAGAGATGAGTCCGGCCCTCATCTGAAACCCCGAGTCTAGACATAGGTCTCGGCCTCTGTCAGCTTGTCAAATATGGTCCGCTGCTTCTTGTCAAGCTGTGCAGGCCTGGGAGGCTTATCAATTTGGTGATTTAGCAGAAAATGACCGAGCACAACACGACTCCGCCATGGCAGGTACTACTAGCTGTTCGTCGTAGTAGGGACGAGGGGGACATGCAGGCGAAGGTGTAGGTGGTGGCAGTGGTCATTGCAGTCTGGATCTAGTGGTGAAGAAAATTGAAAACAATCGCAGGCCGTTGCTGGCGAGGCACTGGCGCGTGTGCTCCAAATGACCTCAGGGTGCTAGAGCTCAGCATTGTCGGGTGGCATTGAGTCTGCTTGAGCCGCAGACCCGCCGCTAGCTGATGTAAATGCAGCCGAAATGCAAAACCCACATGACGAGCCATGCTGGCAATGCCCTTTGGCGAAGTAGATGCCTGGAACGTCGGCTGCCGGGCATCCAGCTACTGGTAGGATAGTGCACCACTGGCTGTACACAACACTTGAAGTTGAGATCTGGTGCATCGACGTCGACATAGCTGTGGATGTCCCAAGCTTCCCGGATTATCTGCCTCCTCAACCTTGACGAGTCAACGGAAGTGTTGGTCTAGGGGCAGCAGTGCAACTTGTGATGCATTCTGGAAACTGTGGGCGACATCGGGCCCTGAACGGTACGTTCCTTGAGATAGTCAGACACCTGCGCACATCTTTAGGGAAAGCGCGAAAGTCTCGCAAGTTCCCCTGCCTCATACCTGGGATCCCACTTCTGGAAGATAGAACGAATGGACGTCTGGAGCTCACTTTTCATGTCCTGCGCTGGGTATGAGGGCATCACAGGCTGGAGATGCCCAGCCCATGGATCCTACATTGCCCTATAGGGCCCTAGACTCTAGACCCGACCTTACTGTGACTCATCCCACTCCTGGCCGAAATCAAAGTTCCGCTTCTTGGCTTGTGGGGTCGACTGTGGAGTCAACGGAGTCGGAGGTGACGGAGGTGTCTGTGGCCTCTGCGGTATCTTTTTCGGTTCTGGATGTGGATCTGCTGCAACTGCGGGGAGGTCCTGAGAAACGCAGGAAATAGGGACTGATGGCATCCCGAGAACATGCACTCTGCCCCAGCCTTCAGCAGCACTTTCTTTGGGGAACTTGGAGAGTCCATTCCTCCCAAACTCCCAAACCTCCCGCCGGTCCGCAAGCAAACTTCGGCACTAAGCGACTAAGAGCCGTAGCACCTGCGGTTTCGGTGTGACCGGTGCATCGAAAGCTCCAACACTCATGCAACTTGCTCTCTGCCAGCACCTGAGTACGACCCAACGCCAGTGGGAGTCCCTTCCAGTTCATTGGGAACGCTCGACGGCACAGCGGTATGATATCGTGTACTCAGCTCATATCAACGGCCCAGTCAATGCATTGAACAAGGCGGCGAGGCGGCATGGCTGCATAGCCGGTGCCTGACAAGCTGCAGTCGGCCGCCCTCTCAGTTCTGACCTACAGTGCCGCTTAGCTTGGCTGTGCTCCCGACCATAGGCCGCCGGTGTGGCGTAGTAGCCGGCCTGGGCATTTCAAGGCGCGCCTCGCCGTTTTACCAGCTCTTCTCCGCAGTGGGAGGAGTGCATTGTCTGTGCGTAGGATCACGACATGATCTCATGAATTCCCCCGGGACATCCGTCCCCTATACTCTCCAGACCCGACACCAAAGGCTTCAAGACCCTGAAACCCTCAAACTGGCCCTTAACCTCCCTTGAAAGGCTCCGCTCTCTTGCTCCTTTTTAGCCACGGCAGGGGCTCCTCAGGCTGAAGGCACTCTCCTGGCACACGCGCTTTGGGGTTTCAGGGACGAGGCAGAAGGCTACTTGAGAGCGGAGGCTCCACTGCCCTCCAGGCCTTCTTTGGGTGGCCCTCGTGCAACAGGAATCCTCAGGCAGTGTGCTGATATGCTGTTATTCTTGAGGTGTAAGGTCCAGTTCAAGACAGTCTCTTGCAAAGCTTCAGAGAGCTACCAAACAGAGTCACACTTAGATTTTGAGTCCCCCAGCTACAGCAGACAAGCCGAGTCTAAAGGTTTTGCAAGGTCCTACAAGACTTGTCTGGGGGAAGGCTTCAGGATAAATCTCTCGGACTACGAGCTTCAGCGGTCCTGTTGAGCTCGCAGGCAAGCTCATAGTAGTACCCGTACCTTGCCACGTCTCTGCTCCATTCACAGAAACCTCACGGAACAGTTCATGGTAGCCTTTGAGGCTGAGAATGCACCCAAGGGGCAGAGCTCGGACCACCCCAGGGCCTGGGCAAGTGAGCATCGTTATTCTCTTCTTTCCGACTCCGAAGGTGCCCGAAGAATCATCGGCGTACTGCTACTGTTCGAGTAGCTGCTACCGCTGTCCTGGAGAGCACCTGTCGACGATCTCACCAGGCTTTCTAACGGGATGTGGATATGATCTGAGGCACATCTGGACAAAAACCTTGGGAAGAAGCCCGTGCCAATTGCCGATGCCAAGCATGAAACTGTATAGATGATGACCATACTACCATGCTCGACAGAATCATCGCCCTCGTCATCGAAGTGCTGACTGTCTTGGTGCCCGGCTGGTGTTTGAAAGGACACCGTTGAAAGCCAAGACGAACTTACCCGGCATCCAAGTGTCGTGCAGCATCCTGGAGAGCTGAGAATGGATGCAAAGTAAAGCAAAGTTGGCCGCTGGGTGCCCAGCTGGGCAGTGGCTGGGTGGTAGGAGTTGAACTCGAACTGCGGCAGGATGCGAACCTGCTTTCGGCTTCTGCTGCCCTTATCCTTCTCACAGTCTCGGGCGCCTCTTTCGGATAGACGTCCTCGCCCAGCCCGTGTCGAAACTTCTCCGAGTTAAATCTGAGGAGGTCCCAGATCATGGCAGCATTCTCCCACCTGCGAAGTCTCTAAGGCTAGCAGCTAAGAGCCACAGTCCTAAATCGAAGGAACTGTTGCTGCTGCAGCGATTCGCAATCTCAACCGCCGGCGAAGGCTAACGAACACGTCCACTGGAGCTCTGTCATTTCCCGAACCACTGGCTCAGCGCGTTCGCAAGCCCTCAAACTGTGGTTCCAGACGGTCTGCATCTGAAGTGCGGCACAACTGCTGTCTTCTGCCAGGCCACCATGGGTGCGATATCCAAATCGAGTCCTGTCAAGCGACGTTTGCCAAGGGCTCTGTAGCGCCGGACAATGGAGGAGCAAGATTCTAAGATACACCGCGACTACACTCTTGAAGAAAGCGTGCCTGACCCTCCAGTAGGAACAAGCAGCTGTACGCTATGGGTGCTGCGACTGCACGCAGCTCCCTGACCGAAACCAACACTATGGGAACATGGGAGTACGACCTCTCGCTACTGCACTCGTGACTGTGGTAATACTTCGACCTCTCGCAAGGATTTCTCAAAACCTCAGAAGATCGAAGTCACACTCGTGGAGGTCGTATCCGAGTTGAAACTGAAGCCACCTTCTTACAGCTCATCCCCGACCCGCGCATGCTTGGCGCAAGTCACAAGATGCCATGCAGACAAGACTGCCAAGCCCTGCTGTGCAAGGCAGCTCAGCGTGAAATGAGAAGGCTTGCAGGGTAGGTGGCCAGAGTACGGATGCTTGCCTTGTGGATCCTCCCTCTCAAGCATTGGGGGACTAGGACGGCTCAAGTCAACCTGATATGGAGACGAATTGTACGCAAACGGCAAGGGGCCCTTGCATTCCCAGACCCTGCCCCCGCCGCCAGCTCCTGCTTTCCCCAGACCCGGCGCAAGAAGCTGCGGCTCCATTCGGAGCTCCGGAGGAGGAAGGCCCCGGTGTTCAGCATCGCAGCATCCTTGGGCATGAGCGAAGTGTAAAGTGGTGTATCTTTCTGCCAGTCACCGACCACCCAAACCTACGAAACTCGGACTAGAAATTCAGGAACTCCCCGAAGCAGAAAACAAGAAAAAGGCGACCGACTTCGCAAAAAAAACCTATGTTAGGTCATGTGCACTATACAATATATATATATATATATGTATATATATATATATAACAGACAATGGATAAAGCTGCTCAGTTTGGGCCCGGGCCTGGCCTCTGCGGCAAGCATGTGAACATCGGCATCGAGGCCGTCGGCGACTGAGGCGTAGCGGTAGAGCAAGGAATCCAGGGTCACCTGAAGCTGGGAAGTTTGGGAATCGCTGCGAGGGGCCGGACGGTTCTGAGCCTCCGATTCTGCTCAAGATGGACCTACTTGATAGGCTGAATGCTGACTTCTTTTTCACCCGGCTTCCAGTGACATCTAGTGCACCTCCAGATAAGATCTGAGTCGCGCTCATGTTCATGAAGAAGGTGTCGCAGTCAAACCACAGCCACCAATCCACGTCCGGCTCCTCGCTCTAACAATTCTTTGACATTCAAGCCGTCCGGCCGCTGACGGTCCGCAAGCCGGCAGTTAGCTGCATGTGAGCCCTGATGACCCCAGTTCGAAAAGTTTACCGCCAAACGTCATCGGCCCATGTCGGCCCGTCCTCCTCAAGCACTTGCTGCAAGAGCCGAACCTTCCCCCAAGCTGGAGGTCTCTCGGGGGCCAAGTTTCGCTGCTCCAGGCGATATCCTGTTCTAAAGGCTTCACACTGTCATAAGATTTGAAGCTTGCGTTGGTGGGTTCAGAGTTCAGCATGGGGGCCGGGAAAAACTTCGCACGCGACAGCATAACTTCAAAGCTTTCAAGCTGCGAAGCCTCCGCGGCTTGACAGGGGACTCGGGCTTGGGACGAGATGCAAGTACATAGTGGCAGGTTCGATAGCTCATACGTTGCAATCTGTGCAAGATTGGGAAAGGGAAACAATATACTGATCAGGCACAGCAATGCAGATTGGGTCTTAGAGTAGTGGATACTACGGTGCACATGCAGGACGACGTGACCAACCTGGCTGAGTGGCGGTAGCCGTGTCGAGCTGCGTAGGCTCCGTGGTTCGAGGCAGCATACCGCGGCAGCGGATTCTCAGTCGGGTACGCGCCTGGGCGCATCGGAAAACAGATACATCCGAATCGCGGGAAGGGACGGAGGCGGCGTCCCTTGAATATCAAAATCATGCCGGGTCCGCTGTTGCATAGGTCCAGAAACTCACAGCTTGACCGACAAATACTGGTAACCCATTAGAAGACCAGCTTAGCAATGTATTGCCCTGTTGAACACGCGCATTTAGCAGGACACAATGCCCAAGCCGGCGAACCCTGGCATAGATTTCCGACATGACGGAGCCCAAGCTCGTCCACAAAGTCGTTATACTTCTGATGTATGTTCTGAATGGCTGGACAGCATTCTCCACCGATTTAGGCACGTCTCGAAGAACTAGTCCCATGAATGCACGTGCAATCCCGGAGCATGCCTCGCTAAGCAAGAAAGGCAGCTGTCAGCACCCCTCATTAGCGACTCACGCGTGCAACCTGAACCCCGAACTTTATCGATCCGTAAGGAGAACGAAGGGGGCCGGGGTCCAGGCACAGACTCGCGATGCCGATGTTCAAGCTGACGTCCCGCCAGCCTGAGCTCGGCCATGCAAAACACGGATGGAAACTTGGCAGAGACCAGTGGGAGTTTCCGAAAATAGGGGACCCTAACATAGTACCCTAAACAGTAGGACCCTTATTATAAGGACCCTCAAATAAGGTACCCCTTATTTTCGGAAACCCCCCAGTGAGGCGGTCGCTGTGAGGAGTCTCCGCCGAGCGCGGCCTCGGCTTTCTGCACTCTTTGCGAGCTCCAGGTTGAAGTTTTCCCCTGGCCTTGACGATGGGTCTGCTTTGGCATCGGCCAGCATGTTCTGAACCACGTGCATTTCGACATTCATCTCCTAGCATGTTGAGCGATCGCGGCGATAGATCATACACAAGCACTACCACAAAAGCTCCGACTCTGTGCAGGATGATAAACCCTGTTGTAGAACCCTTGTAATCCCCTTCGTAACCTTCAAGGTACTTTCTGTTTTGCCTTTGCCCTAAACCCGAAGCCCGAAACCTTAACCCCGAAATCCAAATAGGAAGTACCCCAAAAAGGGACTTCAAGGCCCTAAGCCCTGAATCCCAAACTCCTTGAGGCCGATCGGCCAGGCGGAGTCGTCGATGTACGAGCGGTCGTACCATGCCCAGCCTTCGCCTGGGCCTCCGCCGTCCTCCAAAGGCAAACGGGAAAGTGCTTTAAGGGTACTAAGTACGACAATCGGGTGCTCTGGTACCGTACTAGGGTACCACAAGGGTTCTACAAGTTGAGGGGTTCACGGTTGAGGACAAAAGCGGTGCCCAAGAGCCGAAGGGCCCAGACCATAAGGGAAACGCATCGGGAGGGGCTCCTCCCGGCGGGCGAACTTCTCCCAGACGTGCGTAACCTTAGACAAACCACGCACATGATGGCAGCGGGACGAGCTCCCTTGCCAGAGCCAAGTCGCCCACACGTTGGCCAAGTGCTGGTAGCGGAGCGCCACATGCTGCTGCTGAAGGCCGCGGCTCGGCGACTTGTCCTGTGGCTCTATCAAATGGGCTGGGAAACCAACACCCGAGAGAGCCTTCAACGGGTCCTCCAAGTTCACCAGGGCAAGGACGCGGTAGAGAGAAGCAACGCCTGCCGGTCTGAGCAAAAGCGCTTCGGTCACATGCGGGCATGGAAATAGTGGCCCTTTAAAGCCCCACACCTTCCGAGAGCACCGGGCCAAGAAACCTCCAGTTAGCTGGGCCATCCTGGGCCTAAGGCGCAAGCATCAGGCAAATCACCGCTGCAGTCTTGAAAAGGGATGAGTGAACACAGATCAAGACTGTTGGACGATTTCGGAATGAATCAGCTGCTGTACTGCCAGTGACGAGATCGAAACATGCTGTCCAAGGCCTGATGCTAAACACGTAGCGACATGACTCTGGGGAGGCCCACTTGGTGGTGAGGCCCACAGTTGTAAACTGCGAGAACCATGAAAGCTCAAAACTTGGTTTCCTGAACAATGCGATTAGACTCTCTGGTTCCTCCACGACGTCTCGAAATTGTGAGAAAAGTCAGACAGCTGCACCATTGGAACTTGTTGAGGCCTTTGGAAGATGTGCCTCGATTCCGTCAGGATCTTGTCGATGCTGGTCGGCTTGTCGGCACGGGTGTGAAGTTCATGTCCACAGAAGTGCCGCTCGTGAAGTAGCACACTAAGGGCAAACAAGATGCAGGGACATTCATCAGCCGTGATACGCCGTGACTCCACCCACCGCCGCCTATAACCACCTGAGGCCGAACGCCCGTTCACGAGATCTTGTCCTTGGCCGCGGCGCCATTCTCCACTGGGTAGAACAGCGCGAAGATCCCCGGATTCAGCACGACGAAGGTCATAACGACGTCAGTCTCGAGCATCTTCTGCATGCCCATCATCTTGCGACGCGGCTGCACATTGCGCAGGTATAGCGGTGCGATAACAAAAATCTCTGCCGTGTGCACGGCAACGAGCATCTGCCTCACCACGCCCGGTGGCTTCGAGCCTGCGAAGAAAGCTACGAGGCGAACGGTGACGAGCATCAGCAAGAAGCCGGCATAGACAATGGTGAAGTCCCCGTTGCTGCTGTCCGCGGAAACTCCATCCGTCACCTCGTGCAGGGGAACCTTCTCGACGAGAAGTTTGTACAGTGGAGGGAACTCAAAGAGTGCCAGGAAGAGCACGTACCACCGAAGCAGCCCCATGCTGTCGCAGAAGGAAGAACCTACACGTGTTGAGACTATTGCTAGCTGCAGCTAGCTGAAATCCACAACTCAAGTAGAAGCGCTGCCAGATCCAAGCGTCAAACTGCCCCGCTGCTTTTTCGCCCAGATTGCAAATGGCTTTGAGGCTAGCTCACTGCGGGAGCACGGATGTAACGCAAGCACAGGGATGGCATTACAACAGCAAATTTGTCTATAGAGGGAGGGACTGAAGGAGAGAAGGTAGGGATAAGGATAGGGGGATAGGGGGATAGGGGGATAAGTGGATAGGGGGATAGGGGGATAGGGGGATAAGTGGATTGGGGGATAGGGGGATAGGGGGATAGGGGCATACGCGGATAGGGGGATAGGGGGATAGGGGGACACGGGAATAGGGTGATAGGGTTCCCGAAACACTCGCCTAAAGCCTGACAACACATCGAATTAAGCAATGCATGATGCAGTAAGGCCTCCGCGAATGATATAACCAAGCAACAGGAGAAAAAAAAGATGATGTACATACGTACACACACAGCTAGTTTACTGTCGAGATGATTGCCCTCTATACATAACATGCTTACCCTCTACACATTTCCGAAAAGAACCAGGGTGCTACAGGACAACACAACTATAAAAGAAGAGACAACCATTCATAATATGCAAAAGGCTAAAGTACTCTAGGCTGGCATGCTATGACTTCATGTGACCATGCGCCATCTTCCCCCCTCCCCCTTCCACTTCCCGGCCTAGGGAGCAGGTAAAGCCCAGCCGCGGCTCCGGATCCAGGCTGCTCGTCGAGGCCAAGAGTGCATCAGCCAGGAGCCTTCGAGCAGCCTCGGCTGTTGAACAGGGGTTCTTCCTGCGTGTATGCAGGTAAACATGTTCATGTACGTATGAATGAAAGATAATGAAAGTACATACTGAAACGAACTTGAGGAAGCGAGCCTTTTCTCCTACACAGTATCCCGCTTTCATGCATACGCAAGCACATATCCAAAACGCATGCGCATGCCACACCCACAAAGAAAAACAAAAAAGATGTATGCGAGTACGGTGTATATACCTGCTCATGTATGTACACGCATGCCGATGCAGATGTATATGTGTGCATGAGCATGTATGCATGCATGCATGTGTGTGCGTATTTGCCTATGCCCGTGAATCCATGTATCTGTGTATATATGTAAGTGTGCAACGATGTACCTACGGTACTATGTACCTATGTATCTAGCCCTGTATGCATCGATGTCGATGGAGATGTACAAGACGAACGAGACGATTACTGAAGACCCTCAGGGCTGGAAGTGAAGGCCGATGGCTTTGTGGAGCTTCGCACACGACCTGGAGAGATACATATATGTTTATGTATAATAATAACAACAATACTAATAATAATAATAATAATACAAGATAATATGACATATGGGGCTCCTACAGGACATGGCAGAAGTCTTAGCACGGACTTGTAAGCCATGCTTCGTTGGTGTCACCCTGACGGGCGAAATCCATGCCTTGGCTACGAGATCACACAAGGAAGGGAGGCGCACGGCACTGGAAAGACATGTGTTTGGCCAGCTTGAGGCGCCCATTTACTCCAGCGTTTCGTGACCAGGGCGAGGCTTGAATGTCGCACTAGGCCTGCCGCCCCCGCCCACACACATTTGCAGCGGAGCCCTTTTCACGATTGCTCCTACTTAGCAGCATGCAAGCATGTTTGTCATGGAGGAAGAGGCCAGCGCACAAGACCGACCCCTACGATAACGGTCACCACCATCGCTGCAGCGAGTGGTCCTACGAGTAGGTCACCTGTGTGCAAGGTGCCTGGTGTCTGCAAAGTGGGCAGCATGTCAAGTTCTCGAGTTCGGACACGAATTCCTCGCTTACGGGGATCCAGCACCTGGCTCTCTCCGACCCCAAAAGGCCACACCCAGTCGTTCTTGGGCCGGGCCACTTCCAAGGACCGCGGACAAGATCTGGCGCCAGAAGAGCTCCGATCCTGGCCAGGGCGCAAGGGCCCCATCGCCTGTGCCGGACGTTGGGAAGCAAGGCCCAAACAAGGCCTATATCCTATGCAATGTCATAGGTCATATGATATATTATGAAACAGTGTAACATAACATAGCATGTTAAGTGCAAGCCCTGCCATCTTACCGGCCCACGAGCCCATGAAGAAACTGCACAGCCCCGACTTCGGAAAATTCCGGGGAGCTTTGGTTTGTCGAGGGCTGTTGGCTCTTGGGGCCTGCGTGGGCGCGTGTTTCGAAGCCAGGATCCGGGTCGGGAACATGGGATTCTGTGGGGGTTTAGGGTTTAGGTTTTAGGGTTTAGGGTTTAGGGGTATTGTTTCCAACCTCACATATACAACCAGTTTGGCGAGTTTTGGGGTCGGAAGCTGAGCAGCTCTTCACGGTGCAAGGAGCTGTGTGGTTAATGACCGCAAGAAGCCCGAACAAGGCCACCTGTACATTAGACTTCTTGGCAACGATTGTCATAAAGCAACAGTGATGATATTTTCGATGCTAGGCTTGGTACTGGTATTACGGTAATAAGACACAGACAATGGCCGTGATCACGATAGCAATCATGACCACACTGCACACACACACACATGTGATGTGACGAACAATTGTATCAGAATCAGCACTGTATCAGAAAAAGTACAACACAATAAAATAGTACCACACAGTATGTACAACATATGTGCTTAGCAGTAAACAAGCCATAAATTTGCAACGCAATGCAACACAACATGAGCCAACACAGCGTAAGCTGCAGCAGCATGGCAGAATGCTACCAGTACGAAAAATAGAACCTGTAATGACACGAATTACATTCAAAAAACAAAAACTCAGAACCACACTCACTAAGACGTCCTCAAGACAATTACAACAACGGGAACACTGATCTTTAAGAATGAACCGTCTTTTGCCTTTGGAGCCCGGAGCGTTCCAGAAGCCGTGAGGGCAATGTAGGGGCTGCGCACTGGGCTCTGGGGGCGGCAGCAGCAATGGCACCAGCGCCGGCAGATAAGGCTCCATTGCCATCATGTACACTATAAGGCTTAAGGCTTGGTGCGTTAGGGCTTGGGCTTTCGGGCGCAGCTTGTCTGAAACCACGATACCCAGATTCTGTGCAGGAGGTTTGTCTCTTGCCAGGATCATGTGACCACCAGATTCTGTGCAGGAGGTTTGCCTCTTGCCAGGATCATGTGACCATTGCGGACAACGATCGTAAATCCAGGCTTCACGCCTCGGGATATCCTGGCCTGAGCATTTTTGTGGTCCCTGCATGAGCCGTGATGCATCGAAGTTCGCTGTTGATGTCTTCCCCGAATACTTGAACCCCAACAAAGCTCCAAAAACGAGCTGCGCACGTACATTGCTGCCTGGCGGGGCGGACGAGCCTTGCCACCGCAAGCCCCAGACATGGAGAAGGGCTCACAGCTTGGGAACAGGAAGTGTTTGGGGATGCTCGGCGTGTCCGCCTTAAGGCGCCGAAAGGCGTTTTGGAGCTTCGGAAGGGATTTACTTCTGGCCTTCCGCTTTCGGATTGGGAGGAAGCCGCTACCATATGTTGGGGGGGGGGGGGGTGTTTCACGGTTCGCGATGTTCAGCCTTCGGGGTTGGAGAAAGCCGCCATGACTCGCTCTAGCTTTCTGAAAACTTCCATACTTCGAGCGGCTGCTCGGTCTACCCATACATCCCAAGCTTGACAAGCACCACCGCTACTACTGTTCGCCAGTACTTCTCTACTCCAATGTTGCTGCAAGAAAACTCAGGAGACAGGCGCCAGGCACAGCCCGCCACGGCACCGGTCGGCTCCCAAAACAATGGACACGGCTGCTTCGCACTTCGCAAGGCTCAGTCGGAGCGTTATGAGGTCTGTCGGGCTTGCACAACCTAAACCTAGACTCGAGCTGATTGTACTGGGATGTCGATCTGTCCTTGGTGCTACACATAGATTCATAGATGTTGGCTTCTACAGTCATGTGCAAGCTGAATGGGCGATAAACGAGGGTAATGGTTGTCTTTAAGACCTTTCTCTAGTTGCAGCAGCCATGAGCGAAGGCTCTTCCAGGGTAGCTTCTGTCTGTCTACGTGGGCTTGATCCAGTTCTCAGCTGAGCCTGAAGAAGCAGGTGGTCAAGTGTCCAACCAAGGCTCGGCGGCCGGTCCACACTGCAAGATGCTATGCTCCGTTCATCAACGGCGTGCGGTTAACTTGAAAGCCTGAACCGGGTAAACGAGAAGCAAAACCCTGCAGCACTCTCGAAGGCCTGGCACAAGCAACACTATCTTCACCGAAGCCTGGCAAAGAACCCGTGGGAAGTCGACACCTCACGGAGACCCAATAAGTGCTTCTTGAAGCTGAGGAGACTCTCGCGCGAGTTGGGGCTCTAGGAATCACAATACTCCTTTTCCCTGACTTGCTCTCATGAGGCGGGCGTCGGAACGTGTGCTGGTCTGTGGCAGCTTCGGTCCTTGCACTTCGTGGTTGCATAGATGCACATATTCTGTATGACCCGGGACAGCAGAGGCATCAAGGAGTCCTTCTGATCCCGCCGCATGGCAAAAGCTCTGCACCCTCGCGCAGCGGACATGCAGCCTGCAGGTGGCAAGATCCAAAGTCAATCCTCGCTGCTCTCTTCCGGGCAGGTGCCTGTTCAGCAACCCTGCATCAGCCATTCAACGTTAGGCCGTCCCACAGGCAGCTCTCGTAGAAGCCGCTGTCTCCGCGCTTCGCGCTGCGCGCAGCCTTGCAGGATCTCGCAGGATCTCAGCTCTGAGTCGCGGGGCGGAGGCAGGGAACCGATCTGGCGAGCCTTCGCCGTGCGCCAGAGGCACTGCAGAGTCTCCAGGTTTGCCTGCTTGGTCATTGAACGACTCTGTATACCCCGACTGCCTTACCACCTCAGGGCTGCTTATTCTTCATGGGATACCATCCATCTCGTTGCGGTGTCACTTATAATATGGCGCCTATCTTTGACTCCACTGACACCCTGGACTTGCCGGGCCTGGAAGAAACCTGGCTCGTGGTAGCGGATGTTGTGCTTCTTGCACACCTCCTTCACAAGCGTCCGGGCTTCGCCTCACCACTGCGAACTCGGGTCTGAGACTTGGAACAGAAGATGCACTGTCTGTGAGCCCTTGGTAGCGGTATTAGTGGTCGTCGTCGTCGCAGTCGTCGCAGCTCGCAGGTCAACGGTCGAAGGTCGCAGTAGCCGCAGAAATCCCTGACGAAGGACTCAGGTTTCAGTTGGATCCAAGGGGCGGAGGTTGTGACGAGGAAGACGAGGAAAAAGATGATGCTCAATCTGAAACTGGAGGCCGATGTGCACCCAGTCCAGCCTCCAAAAAGAGCATGGGTACAGAAAAAATAGGCCAGTGAGAGAAGCTCTCAAGATTACCGCGATGCCGCAGAGTGGCGCCGGTGGTGTGTCAAAGTTCATGGTGGTCTTAAGCTGTGTAATATACCACTCATCGTCCGCACCATTGTAGGCCTCAGCATTCAAGGCTCGCAGTCGTCTTGACAAAGCGCAGGACAGCAGCAGGCCGCACCGGATGCAGCATAGCCCAGGCAGAATTGAAGGAGCCCGTAACGCTGAGGATCGGGCGTGGCCGTGGTACGTTTCCATGGAGAAGTGTGAGCAGCAAATCTGAACCTCAATGGACACTTACTGGGCAAACCCTGAATCACTGAAACTCGGATCGTCCGCTGCCGAGTAGGACGACTGGGGCAGCGACATGCAGCAAGCCGGACATGGCATGGCTCACAAGGAGCCATCCCAACCTTGCTTGAGTTTGACATGTCGTCTGGACTTTGGGGCTCTAGTCATGTCTAGTCAGCCTAGGTTTCGCGTGAGGGGCCAATTTCGATCTGAGTTGACCGTGTTCAACATCGGAAAGTATCATTCATCACCACCATCATCATCGTAACCGCCGTCGTCATTGTCCCTGTCATCGTCATTATCATCGTCGCCACGAATGAATGAGGGAGTTGCCGGTTCACGGTGTCTCACCCTACCACTTGTCTCACCCTACCACTGTTCCAGAATTCCTCCTGCAAGCGCTGCAATTTCTGCTAGTGTGATTTTAAAGAACTGCTGATGCCGAAAATCTGCCACCTGCTGAGGGTTGTTGGCTTCAGCCTTAAGCCTCAGACAGCAACAGCAACAATGACGGCAGCAATTGCAAGTCCGTCATCAGGATCACCACTCTCACGATGACCATCGTGCAAAAATGAACGCGTTGATCACTATCATCGTCAGACACATCATCGTCACCAAATTGCCAGTGTGATGAGATCGTAACGCCGGAGCCGGAGCCCCGCAAGCAGACCCCTGCGCTCGAGCTTGAGGTGTGGGGTTACAGACCAGCCATGACGCAGCCTAGTCCTGGGGTGTTGGGATTCGGGATTCTGGTCCGAAATCGAACCCCTAAACCCTGAATTCATTACCCCAAACAATGGCCAGGTACGTCTCGGACCAGGTCGGCAAGGACAGGACAAGGC